TCAACATCGTTCCATGTCTCCCTGGTGTGTTTCCGGCGCCAGCCCCCCTTCCCCGCCCTTCCTCGGACTCGCTCTCTGCTCCTGCCCCCCACCTCCGTCCCCACCTGCTCTCCGCCCTCCTGTAAGTTCGCCCCTCCGCCCTGCCTTGCCCCTCCCCCGGAACCCCCCCCGGCCGAGAGAGGAGGAAAAGAGGAGGACCACGAGGGAGGAGAAAGAGGAGGAGGACCACGAGGGAGGAGAAAGAGGAGGAGGAGGAGGAGGAGGAGGAGGAGGAGGAGGAGGAGGAGGAGGAGGAGCGAGGGAAAAAGGACAAGGAGGCAGGAGCGTGGGAGGAAAAAAAGAGGAGGAGCGAGGGGAAAAAAGGCCAAGGAGGCAGGAGAACCCCCCCGGCGAGCAGCCCCCCAGGCGCCCCCGCACCGCCAAAGCCTCCCACGCGGCCGGGGCTGCACCCATCCTTAGGGCGCGGCGGCGCTTCTCCCAGAGGGGCCTTCCCGCCTCGGCGAGTCCATCGCCGAGGCCCCCCACCACAGCGGGAGCCCGCAGCGCCACTGCGGTGCGTGTGTGTGTGTGTGTGTGTGCGTGTGTGTGTGTGTGTGTGTGTGTGTGTGTGTGTGTGTGTGTGTGTGTGTGTGTGTGTGTGTGTGTGTGTGTGTGTGTGTGTGCGTGCGCGTGTGTGTGCGTGCGCGTGCGCGTGTGAACGCGTGTGCGCGGGTGCGCGTGCGCGTGCGCGTGCGTGCGCGTGAACGCGTGTGCGTGCGTGCGCGTGCGCGCGTGCGTGCGTTCCTGTGCGCAGTGCGCAGCGAGCCTGCCGAGGGGAACGGCCCCCGGAAGTCGACGGCGCTCGAGTGGGCCGATCGACGCCCAAGTCACTGCTGCGCCCCGGAGCCGTGGAGCACTACGAGTGAAGGATTGCAAACAAAAAAAACCGAAGGATTGCAAACAAAAAGGATTGCAAAAAAAAAAACCCTTGGAACGAAGGACTGCAAAACAAAAAACCTTAGTTTTTTGCAATCCTTTGCAATCCTGCGTTTTTGCTTGCAATCCTTTGTGGCCCTGTCGCGGCGCCTGGACGCCTGGGCTCCCTCTCTCGTCCGATGCCTGGCGGGCGCCCGGAAAGGAGCCCGACGCCGGCAGGCACCCCGCGGCTCCCTCGGATTAGGTCGGGCGTGTCCTCCTACAGGCGCTTTTTTTGGACGCCCGCCATGGGTACCGAACCAATGGGTACAATGCCCAACGGCAAAATGTTGTCCCTGACCAACAGCGGCCGCTGTTGGGCAGGCGGCCCTCTGTCTCAAATGGGCACAGGCCGCGGCGGCGTGGACGGCAAATCCTGCTCCAAATGAACAGGAACTGCAGTCGGGCATAGTACCCACCTTGTCGTTCGCCCCCACCTCAGGAGCCCCCCCTGGACCTGCGGGGGGGGGGTCCTCGTGAGGACACCTTGTCGTGCGCCTTCGCCTCTGGAGCTGCCTCCGGGCCCTCGGGGGGGGGGGCTCCCGGGAGATCCTGGAGGCACCTCCAGCCTTAAGGGCCCTTCTCGGCAACCCCGGACTGTCGCCCGTCCTCTCGCGCTCACCGTCATCGCCCGCCTCGGGGGGCCGGCAGCCGCGCACCCGCACGCGCGTGTGTGTGTGTGTGTGTGTGTGTGTGTGTGTGTGTGTGTGTGTGTGTGTGTGTGTGTGTGTGTGTGTGTGTGTGTGTGTGTGTGTGCGTGTGCGCGTGCGCGTGCGCGTGCGCGTGTGAACGCGTGTGCGCGCGTGCGCGTGCGCGCGTGCGTGCGTTCCTGTGCGCAGTGCGCCGAGAGCCTGCCGAGGGGAATGGCCCCCGGAAGTCGACGGCGCGCGAGTGGGCGATCGACGCCCAGTCACTGCTGCGCCCCGGAGCCGTGGAGCACTAAGAGTGAAGGGTTGCAAAAAAAAACGAAGGATTGCAAACAAAAAGGATTGCGAACAAAAACCCTTTGAACGAGGGACTGCAAAACAAAAAACCTTCGTTTTTTGCATGTCCTTTGCAATCCTTCGCTTTTGCTTGCAATCCTTTGTGGCCCTGTCGCGGCGCCTGGACGCCTGGGCTCCCTCTCTCGTCCGATGCCTGGCGGGCGCCCGGAGCGGAGCCCGACGCCGGCAGGCACCCCGCGGCTCCCTAGGATTAGGTCGGGCGTGTCCTCCTACAGGCGCTTTTTTTGGACGCCCGCAATGGGTACACCCTGCGAAATGCTTAAGAAATCATGGGTTAAGAAATTCATAGTCTCAGAACTTGAATAGAAAAACCCAACATTTCTATTAAAATCTTGGGATTTACATTGAAACATTAAGAATAATCGAGACTCTGGCCGAAAACTTGGGTTTTCTTAAACATCGCCTAAAGTGTACCGAACAAATGGGTACAATGCCCAACAGCAAAGTGTTGTCCCTAAGCAACAGCGGCCGCTGTTGGGCAGGCGGCCCTCTGTCTCAAACGGGCACGGGCCGCGGCGGCGTGGACGGCAAGTCCTGCTCAAAATGAACAGGAACTGCAGTCGGGCATAGTACCCATTTCGGGCGCCCAGATTTTTTTTGCGGGGGGGAAGGGCCGAACATAGATCCAAACAAAGTCCCAAATAGTCAAAACCTCTTCCCAGACTAGCTGTTGTTCTACTATTTGGGAATCTTCCACCTGTAGAGGGACAGGCCCGACTGAAGCCTAGAAGGCAGGGGCCTTCTTCGAAGGCCCGGGAGGCCTCTGAGAGGTCCTCGCAGAAGCTGACCCCGCCGCCTTCTCACAAAGGTCGCCCCCCCTCGTGCCGTCGGCCCCAAAAGCTTCGATCCGAACTTTCTATCCCGAGCCGTTTGAGCGCGCTGCTCACGATTCGCGATGACGGCCGTTACCTGGAATGCTGCCCCCCTCACCCCCCCACCTGGTTCGGGAATCTCCTGACCCGGGTCAACCCAGACCCGGGTCAGCCAGGGCTTGCAGAATCCTGCAAAATCCTGCAAGACCCTGCACCCAAACCCGGGTCAATGCGAAGGATCCTGCAAGATCCTGCAGGATCCTGCACCCAAACCCGGGTCAATGGGAGCCTGGCCCTGCAGGATCCTGCAAGATCTGGCGCTCTGGCTGACCCCCGTTTGCATTGACCCCCGTCTCTTAGGCCCCACCTGGTGACGTCACGGTTCGCGCCGGTGCCGCTCAGGAATTGCTAGGGGGAGCCAATTCCCAGGAGGCGCTGGCGAGAATCGTGACGTTACACAAGCCCCCTCATCTCCCTTCCCTCCCCCCCTCCGGTAACGGCCGTTATCGCCAGGGGATGAAAAAAATGCACTTATTACATGTTCTGGGGTAGGGAAATGTCTGCAAGAGGCAGAGAACGCAAATAAGCCGGCCGTCACGACTTCGGGGGAACAGCATCCATTTTGATGAGCCTTCTGCGTTCAGAAATGTCCAACGCTCGGAACAGGAAAGATGCGACTACGGTCGGACCTGACACATAATAACATCCTTCAAGAACATGAGACCCTCCGCCAGCCAGAACGCCCCAAACCATAAGATCACCGAGGGTACCCGTCCCCAGGAAGCACGAAGACACCCAACGCACAAACAAAAATAGTGCTGCATGCCTCCCCGCACCGACCTCGATCTTCTACTTCGGTCCGACCGTACAGTCAACCCGTATCATAAGGACGCACGATAAGGATGCAAGGGCCTTGTAAAGGTGGGGCGCGGCTAGCGAAAGCGGCCGAAGATGGGCCGAACGGGAAGAATGCAAGGGTACCTTCGAAAGTCGCTCGTCCTCATTGTGCGGGTTGACCGTATTCTCCTCCATCTGCGCCGGCCACGGGGCCGAGGGCGCCGAAAAGCCGGCCATCACGACTGGTCTGGCGCCGCCCAGATCTGAGGGCTGCGGTAAAAGCATAATAATAATAATAAACATCAGAAAAATGAGAAGAACACAACAACGACATAAACATATACTTTTGGCGTTCCGGGCAGATTTCTTGGATCGGCGATTTCTTGGATCTGCGGATTCCTCCATGTCGCGCGGAGCGCGCCAGGGGCGGCGCCGGAGGCGTCGCCAGGAGGGCCCCAGCGCGTATCCAAGAAATCCGCGCGGGGCGTCAACAGTTTATGTTTACAGTGGAAGCCAATTCGCAAGAAACCTTCCGCGAGAAACCCAGTCCTGAGACCCCGGGGCGTCCACTGATTTCTGGACATTTCTGGTGGGGGAGCGTCACGCTTCCCGTGGCAAAACCATCGGAACCGAAGAAGCCCAGGGCACCCTGGAGGCAAGCCGGGTGTTTCTGGGCATTAGAGGCCTCCTAGATGGGGTCCGAGTAGATGGGGTCGAAGGATCGCACCGCATCGCCAATGCATCGGCGACGCATCGGCAATGCATCGGCGATGCATCGGCGACGTCGGCGTGGGGAAACACAGTCTCCACATCGAGCCGCATCGCCGATGCATCGCCGATGCATCGCCGATGCATCGGCGATGCGGTGCGAGCCTCCGACCCCATCTACTCCGACCCCATCTGGGAGGCCTAGAGGCATGGGCCTCCACCGTATGGCGCTTCCTTCTGGTTCGAGGCGGGGCCGCCAGCCCGGGCCCCGGGCTGGCGGCCCCTGTACCCCTCCCGCCGCTGCGCACGAGGGGCTGGGGGGGAGGAGGGGAGGGGGCCGCGGCCTTCCGGGGGGGCGTCTCCGTCGCTCGGGGGTCAGGGCCCTTCGATCTTCTTGGAGTTCGGTCGGGCGTGTCCTCCTACAGGCGGGCTCTGGGCGAAGCGTGCAACACAAATCCAACAAATAAGCAAGACACGCTGAAACAGATTCAAACAGATTCAAAAAATCGTCCCCAGCCTATGTTTTTCCTATCCTTGAATACTCCTCCTGGAGAGGGAGACCCCACCCAGAGGCCGGGATGGGCTCTTAAGACGCCCCCCCACCCCGCCCGCGCAGCAGGCCGCCTCCCCTCGCGCCGCCCCCCCGCGCGCGCGCGCCGCCAGCCCTCCCTCTCGGCCGGGCCGCCCCTGTCCTTGCCCTTGCCCTTCCCCCGGTCGGCCTTCTCGCCTCGCCGCCTCTCCTTCCTCGCGGGGGGGGGGAGGGGGCGAGGGAGGAGAGATGGGGGGGGGGGCAAGGTGTGGCGCCTCGCGGGGGGGGGAGGGGGCGAGGGAGGGGAGGTGGGGGGGGGGCCAAGGTGTGGCGCGCTTGCGCCCTGCCTGACATCTCCGGTCTCCAGCCAATCCCGCCCATCCCGTCCCACTGCGCCGACGATTTCTCGACCCGCCGACGGGTGAGGAGGAGGAGGAGGAGGAGGAGGAGGAGGAGGAGGAGGAGGAGCAGGAGGAGGAGGAGCAGGAGGAGGAGGAGGAGGAATATACCACAGGGAGATTACAGCGGGTCCCCAGGACAACACCGACGGCGAAGCTGGAAAAACTCATCCGACAAACGGATGGCCCTCAATAGCCGTACTTACGGGTCTTCTTCTGGATAAATTCCGGGCGGTAGAGCCCCCTTGCGCCCCCTGAGACTCAGACCGAGGGAGATGGGCCAGAGGGCCCCAACCTTTGGGGGGCTTACCGTCACGCGAACGCTTCAAATAGTGGCGCCCCTAGGGAATGATCTTATCGGTGCAAGTTTCAGTTCAGCTAACATCATGAGCCTACCCCCTCCCTACGCCACACTCCCGAAATCTGCGCACTTCCGGCACCAGACAAGTCCATGCCTCATGACAGCAGTATGCGAAGGGTGGGACTGACTTGGCGCCCGCCCTGATCTCGTTCACAATCCGGGATGGTACGAAGACAGGGGTTCCAGCATCACTTCTGACTGGGAGCGTGGCGTCACCCTGACAACGGGATTTCCCGAACCAACCGACCAGCAAGGACCTCCCTGGGCCCAAACGGCATCCGGAACAAACCCAACAGCGCTTCGCCACGCGCTCCATCTTGTGGCCCGAGCTCTGCTGGAAGGCCACCGCTCTCCTCAGAGCCTCTCCTCCTCCCTCGGGCGCCTCGCGCGGGGGGCGGTCCTGGTCGGCCGCCTCCGCGGCCAGCTCGGCGCATGTCGCTGCGAGACGCTGGTGGGCCAGCGCGGCCGGGGCATCTCCACTGGCCAGGTGCTTAGCCTGGGAAGAGATCCGCGCGTGCGCCTCCTGGGCTTCAAGCTGGGCACGCGCAACGGCTAGCGCCTTGCCCCGCTGCACTTCTACTCTGCGTCCCAGGCGCTCGCGCGACAAGGCGTCGAGGTGAGAGAAACATTTGCGCAGTCTGATGTGGCCAGGGCGCTCTCTGACAGCCTGAGAGATCCGTTCCCACCGCGCCTTTCGGGCCTCCGAAGGCATTTTGAGCTGGCCCCCGAACCAACCATCATTAAAAACTGGCAATCGGTCAAAACATGGAGCTCCGGTTCTGTGGGACGGGTGCACCGCCGCAAGGCGGCTGGCTCCGACGCGGGCGCTGTCTGCTTGCCGTCGACACCTCCATGCCACCCAGGAGCGGGAGCAGGATCAGAGGAGCCCTGAGGCCAGGAGAGGGGGAGAGGCCGGGGGGAGAGGCCCTTGCTGGAGGCAGGCGCCCCGCCCCGCGCGCGCCGCCCGCGGGGCAGAATCCGAGCCGGGCCGCCCGGGCCCGCGCCCCGGCCCAGGGTGGGGCCACCTCGCGGGCAGGGCCAAATCTTGGGGGCCGGGGCATCGACAGCTCGCATTCGCCAACCTCGGGTTTCTCCCCGGGCTGGGGGCGGGGGGGAACCTGACTCCAGGATTTAAGCGGTAAGCCTTTCAGCCACAGGGACTCGTTGAACTCCTAGTCCTGGTCGGCCTGGACACGCTGGCAGAGATCGTTAGTTCTCTGAATCCACGGGTGCTCTTTCTGCGCGACGCCAGGGTCACAGTGAACTCGATGGCAGATCGTGTCGGGGGCTCGGAGGTCGCACCCCGCTCGCGCAAACATTCCGCGCTGTTGCCAGCGCGCCGCTGCCGACCCCCATTCCACAGAGTGCTACAGACGAGCCCCTCCAAGGCACCAGGTTCCCGGCGCATGCCTTTCTTGATATTCCAGACGAGTCGGGCTTGAACTGCCACTCGCAACATTCAGGGCCCCCCCAACGATCAGGTTCAATCCCAGACCGCCCCAAAGCTCTGGGGGTGAGGATCACGGCTCCCATGGGCCCCGTGCAGGCCCTCCATCTAACGCGGGTTTTAACCTAGCTAACATCAGCTCGGTGGCCTTCCACCCCTTTTCGTGCATGCTGCCTGAGAGGGGGGGGGTGTTAGTCCAGAAGGCGAGCCACTCCCTGGACTGGCGATTTATACACATGGCCCAATGTTCCCTCCCTTCGTGCACCAGCAGCACGAACGTGGGCGCGCGCCGCCCTTTCTTGCCCACGCCAGCAAGGGCCGCGGCCATGTCTCTGCGTCGACGTATCTCTGTCGGGGGGAAGCCAAAAAGCGGGCTGTCGTAAAACATATTAGCACGAACGTTCGTATTTTACAGCTGGATTCGCTTCTCCCTGCGGGTTCCCCCAAGAAGCCCAAAGACGCGGGCCCTCGCGGCCCTCGCTCTGCCAAGACGCGCGCATGTCAGCCGTAGTCCTAGTCCGCTTGTGTCCCATGGTGTTGTCAGCCCCTAGGTCCTTCATCGTTTTGCTACGCTTGAGCTCGATACCTATGCCCTCCAAGGCCTCCTCCACAACGTTGCCATCCGTAGGGTCCAGCACTATGATCGTTGACTTGTTGGACATCCTCAGCCCGGCATCAAAACATCTTTGCGCCCGGGTAGCGACTGCCGTCGCAAAGGCTGGCCACACGATCTCTGGAGGCCCGTCTACCCTTGCCGAAATGTCATCTACGAGCAGCCGCATACGTACTACATGCACATCTCGATGTACTGTCCAGAATATGATAAAGCAGGGACCCTGCGCAATGGCCGGCCTTTTCCACGCCCAGGGGCATTGCCATTTTTTGGATTATGGGGTCGATGTAGATCTTCTTCACCTTGACTAGCCTGAGACTGAGGTCGCTGTTAATACACATGTAGAGCTCAACTGCTGGGAACTCCAACTCCATTGGTTTCACTGCTCGGATACCCAAGTCCACCAGGTCGCAACATTCTTCCAACTCCTGGAGGAACGGTGCTTGGCTAGCTGCATCAAGGCTTGCTCGGCACTCATCGAGGACCAACGTAATGAAGGCCGACTGCAGGGCCGAGCCCTTCCGCGCAGCAGCATCCCAAAATCCCGCTCGTCGGTCGCACCAATCGGCGAGCATTCCCTTGGTCATCTCCCCCCGCGGCCTCAGCGGCACGAGCAGCAGCCCTATGGGGCGTTCTTCCACTGCAGCCTGTCAGTCTGCTTCCGAGGGCAAAGCAAACAACGTCTGCATGCATTGGTAAGGCAAGTGAACTTTTCCCTCGCACATGATGGGAACGAGCAGCAGCACAGCTTTGCACTGCGGGCTCAGCGCACGCAGCTGGTCAGGCGACCGCTGATCCGCGCTCAACCCAGTGTCTGAAGGGAAAACACCCACAGCACTATCCAGCTGATCCAAGGCGAGGTCGGGCCGATCCTGCAGCTCATCCTGCGCTTTGCACTCGAGCACGACAGACGCCCCATGCATCTGCGCTGCATGCTCTCGGTGCGCCGTCCAACGCGTGGCCCGCGCCTTGCGTCTCATGTTGGCGCCGCCGTTGCGGCCCGCCTCCCACCGTTCGTCTCGCGGTCCAAGCGCGCGCTGCTGGTCTCGACCTGTTCTTCTTTTTCCCAAGTGTTTGTTGGCCTGCCTGCGCGGTCCTGTCGTAGCTTGCGTGGCCCATGCTCTGACCTGGGACCGGGTCGCTTTCCGCGCCAGCTGCGCGTGTCGTTCAGCTCTCTGGTAGGTCCATGCCACCATCCTTGCCAACTGCGCCCTGCCCCGCTGCCCGTCCTGTCCGCCTTTGGCAGGCGCGCAACGTTGAGCATCTGGTCGCGCATGTTGGACCCCGCTTGCCACTGGTGTCTCTCGCCCGCCACGGTCGGCATCCAGGTCTGCTAAGGGATCGCGGTCATCGTTGTCATCGTCTATGGCACTCCGGGCCGGGAACGCTTCATTCAGGCTGCTCGCGGCGGAACTCGGCCCCGCGGTCGCCCGCTGGGAAGACTTCGCCGACGCGGCGCCCCTTGTTGGGCCTATTCCATCTGAAGAGACTCTCGCCCCACAAAGTACACCTGTGTCTGCGCAACATTGGAAATCTGGAATGCGGCTGGCGAGGTTGCGCGCCACCTCGTCGACGTCGCCCCTTGGCGCTGCGGATTGATCATCTCTTGCTTCCTCCTCGGGGCCTGGAATCAGTCCCGCTGTCGCGCCGACCCCGCCCCCCCCCCCCCCCCTAGCACTGCAGCATCCTGTTCTCGATCTCTCTGATCAGCTTTCCGGCCAGTAGCTTTCCGACCAGCCTGATGGCGCAGTCTCAATAGCCGTCGGCGCAGCCGGTCCACAACCTCGCGCGTGGCATTCAACCGGGCTGCCATCGCACATCTCGCCTGACGGGTGGCCACCTCACGTAGCCTGAAAGTCAGCGCTTCCTATCTGTTCGCCCGCTCGCGCACTGCCGCGTTCATGAGCGGAACTGACCGTTGATGCATGTGTTCGGTTGACCTCGCCATGCGGTGCGATTTCTTCGCTGCGGCCGTCGATTCACCAAAGAGTTCCCCCGGCATCAGAACACCCTCTTGGTCGCGCTTGACGGCCCAGGACTGTTCCGTTGCTCTCAGAAGAGGTTCTAGCACCTGGTGTCGGGCATCGTCCAACGCCTCCTGCCACTGCGCATCAGACACTGCATTGCGCGCCACCTTCACATGATACTCAGGAGGGAAAATTTGAAGCGCCTGTCATGCCCTAGGCCTCCTGGTTCCACGCAATCCTGTACTGCCTGCTCTTGTAGACTGGGGCGTCGTTCTTGACCTCTCTGATACCGCTTGGCGTGGCCACCTTCGCCTCGATCGTTGGAATGTCCAACTTCACCGGCGCATGTAACTCCAGATCCGAGACGATCCGCGGACCCCGCCGCGCATTCCGAGCTGGCGAAAAAGCTTTAACCAAATGCAGGA